ATAATCGAAACATTCGACTAAACCAAATTTATAACTATTTGAGTAATGAATTGGGTGAAAAGAAAAGCTTAAAATCGGAGACAATGTTTTCCCACAATTTACAAGGTCAAACTCTTCGCAATGTGTATAAATTGGGGTTATAATCATATATTAACAAATGCAATTTTATTTGCATTTTTGTGATAGCTATTAGATTATGCTATTAGATTGTCTTTACATTATTAGTAGTTCTTTTTATCTTCATTTAAAATTGAATATTACAGGATGAAAGTGCAAAAATAAATAAAAATTCTGTAAGGATTGCGCAATATATTAACGATATTCTATAATTCCCCTAACTCTAAAGCTAATTCAATAAAATATTAATTTTATAAGTTATCTCTGCTTCAGACGTTCTTCAGATTTGAATTGCAAAAATCTGCCTATATGAAAAATTAGCCAATCAGGATGAAAGCTTATGTCATGACAAAAAATATTGTGAACCATGTGATTTCTGACCCTTAGCAATGCTAAAATTTTTAAAGACCCATTACTTAAAAATTTATTAGGCTTTACCCCACTTTTTAAGCTAAAATAAAAGCATGCCACATGTTGGGTGTATGTTGGGTATATGTAATAGATTGTAATAGGACAGTAATAGGATCGTAATAAGACTTTGTCCTAAAAAATGGGGATGCTTAAAGCGTTGTGCATTCATATGTTTTTGACTATTTAATTAAAATTAGGGTAAGGGTTTAGTTTTGAGTTAGGATTAAGACAGGCTTATAGGTAAAATCACTTCCTGATCCTTTTTATTAGTACACCGATATAGGTTTAGACTTTAGTTTTCTTGTATTCTTTTTTTTTATGTGATCCGTGTTGATCCAAACCAACAAGTTGATTGGCCACATATCACGTGATCGTACAATGCTAAAAAAGAACTTGTGTGTGACACTAAATTAAAGAATGTTATTTATAATGATTACCATGTGATGACGCGCTTTTAACTATCAGTCAAGCTAGCAGGACAATTAAATTCGAGACTAAAGTATCTGAATTAAAAATATTGATATAAAATTTTTTAGATTGAACGAATTAATAATCTTTATTAACACAAATATTGAAAGTATTGAATATCAATGAAACAAAAAAAAAAACAATTTCAACTCAAAAAGTGATCGAGAATAATAAAATCGTGAGATTTTTGCCTATAGCATTTATTTACTATGCAAAAGCGCTTTATTATTATATTAAAAAGAATTTTATATGCTATAATTTTTTGTTCCAAATAATAAAGTTTTGTTTCAATAAGCCTTTTTCTGTATTGGTTATACTAATATGACAATCTCAAATTATTGGCAACTTCCAAGACAAAGCAAAAACCTAAAATGTTGTTAAATGTAAAGAAACCGAATCGCAAAAAGAGAACAAGTATTGTGGGGCTGATGCTGAAATCGGCTAATGCTAAAAATTTTTCATATTTTATTATTAAATTGTAAAAATTTTTTGGGCCCTTTTTTTTCATAGTTAGATTAGAGTTAGGGAGTAGTATTTATTAATAAAAAAGTATATGTGAATTTTAGTAGGTTTTAGATTTAAAAAGAGACCCCAATTTTCAGCATTAGCCTTACAAGTATTATTTTGGCTTGACCTACACCCAGGCGTTATTTCAAGAGAATACGGTATGGGTGGATTTTTACAATTATTGAATTAACTTTAGTGTTGGCATAGACTAATTACTTCATTATTATAGAAAAAATAGACTTTTTATCATAAGCCAGGCTGTCAGCGATTTCAATCTTAATTGATTGTCCAGGCCAACAACGATTTTTATGATAATCAGTACTGACAGCTTGTGATTTATTTATTTTTATTATACACCAATTTTGTATAATTGTTTATGTCACTTTTATATTAATAATTCTAAATTCGAATGTCTGAAATTAGATCGTCATCATCGGTGCTTATTGGCAAACGATCTGGTGTAAGAAGAATATTGCTGTCCGTGGTAAAAACAACTATTTCTAATGAAAGCAGGGTATTCATTTCTTTAAGAGTCTCTTTTGCCCGTGCTGGGGTTAAAAATAAATCTAGTAAACTAGATATTGGCATATTTTCATAGCCAGTTGAGTCACTATGGGATGGTGATGATGTTGGAGTTGAAGTGGTAATCACTTGTGAAAGGACCAATTTTTTTGCTGCTTCGCTTATTGTTAAAGCATCAAAATCCATATCACTATTGTTGGATTTCCATTCTTGTTTTTTGTATTCAGTCGAAGAAATTCTCAATGTATGGTTCGAAGTTGTTGGAGTTATTGATTCATCTATCATAAAAAAATTATATAGTTCATTAACTTTGTTACAAATTAAACGCATTTATTCAAGCAATTTATGATCATTATAATCGTAATACTGTATTTTAATAGAAATAAAATTATATTCTCACCTCCATTTGTAACCAAGCTCTGATCAGATTTGTAAGACATTACAATTGAACTTTCGGCCTGATAAATTATAGAAAAATGCGTTAAAATCCTTAACGTTAAAATGATATGTTTTATAAAACTATAACATGCAATTGAATTCTCTATATTCAATTCTATACGTAATTAGCACAGTTAAAAAATCATTACCTAATATTCAGAGAAGAATATTTTTCTTCTATAATCAAAAAAAGATAAGAGTTGTCAATTTATCAGTTTTCTGCTCATGATTTCTATATAACAAGATAATGGTTATAGAACCAATCATCTTATTTTGAACTTGTTAAAAATAAATTAATATACATAAATATAAAGTATAAAATAAAAAAAAAAGAAATAAAAATTTTTAATCTATTTCTGTATGTTACTACAATTACCAGTACTCTTAATATTAAATCGTCAAAAAACAGGTTTAAAAATATATACAAAATACAAATATAACGTTTAAAAGTGCGATTGAGGTGTGAAAAGACTTGGTCCAAATAATCAGGGTGTTAGATTAGAGCTCTGGATTACATCACGGGTCTCTTAGTACAGAGTATGCAGTAATTGTACAATATCTAAACCTCTAGAATAACATGCTTGTCATAAGCGAAAAGATAAGGGGTAAACGACGAGTTAATTCATCAGATTTCAGTTAGATGAATTCTATATAAACATGTATTGGACATATCATTATCCTATTATTAGATCTAAAAATATGTATATAAAAAGATAAAGTAATAAACAATATATTTAAAAAATATTTGCTATCTGCAATATATATACAGTATATACGTACACAGTATGTATTATATAGTTTATTATAGTGAAAATAAAAACTTACTTTCTCGATAGTAGAAATATAAGGGGTCAATGATTATTCAGTATTGAGTATATATGCTATTAATATTTATTGAATAAAACTACTGAAACTTGGCAGACAGCTTTTAACATTTGTTTGATAATATTTGAAAACAATATTCCACCATGTCTAATTTCAAAAATCAAAGTTTCAAGTTCAGAGATT